ATAACATAGTCGGGCTTAAACTAGATACTACTTGAAGAAGTTTGTTTGAACAAAAGAGAACCCCAACTTCTAAACTACAAACCAAATATGACCTCCATTTTCATGCGGTTTGAAATCATCAGCTTTGTTGAACATTACAGGTAAACCCGATGGTGGACATTTGCACAATGTCTGCCGAAGGGAATAATTTTTTCTAGGGTTCAAGTGCAGAAGAGCTATACTGCTGATATCGGTGTGTAGGAATAGCGCAGGTTTTTTTTTTCACCAAAATAATCGACAATCAAAAAAGATCCATTACTCTATTTTAGTTCATATGAGTGAATGAGAAAGGCAAACTAGAAAAAGTCTCAATTTCACGGTAGTATCAAGAATTCATGAGTTACGCACCTTTTCATATAATGTCCATCTCATTCAAATTTTTTTCACAGGAGGTCGCGTTGAAATTCGCCGCCGCCCAAGAAGCGCTGAGCGAAACTCCTATCCAACTTCACCACTATGTGACAACGCCACCTCTCCGTTATTCATTCAGAAATATGCGTTCACAAAACTCAACGTGAGTCTATCATATATTTGTGTGTTGATCACCTATTCGAATAAGGAAACGAGGTTTATTTCAAGGGTCCGCTTGATAACATGGAACAGAAATCACCTTTACCGCTAGTCTCACGTAACGCATTGGATGAGCGTCAATACGCGACCATTATCGAGGAGTTACGCGTTATCTCATCAAGAGTTAAAAAAGAGGTTTGTTCTCAACAACTTCGCGTTTTGCTTAAATCAACTATATCGTTAGTTAACTTTAACAATAATTCTTCAGCTGACTATTGTTTTTTCATAAATTCGTAATCCAGGAAATGATGCATGCTCAACGTGCTGACTGGATGTTTGCGGCAATGGTGATAGACCGTGTGTGCTTCGTCACCTTTTCCGTTTTTCTTATACTTTGTACACTCGTTCTTTCCTACCGAGCACCACATATCTTTGCATAACTGACGTGTGGTTGATTCATTGCCTTTGACTACGATAGATTGCCAGATTTTGAGCGGTCTATTCCGCATGCATCTCTGAGAATTACGGGTACAAGGTCTTTAAGTATCTCGAAGATAATTCAGTCGATATACAAATAAGTGAATAAACAAATTTTAAAGTCTCGCTATGGTAAATGAAGTTACTAAAATAAAAAAAATGGTCATCGCTACAGAAAGCAAATGTTCAGTAAGAAACGCATGATTTCTAAATGGGCACATA